AAAAAATCAAATGGGCATTAAATAATGAAGGGAAAATTTGAACTCAGGCTTGTCTTACTGGATTGCCTAACTGTAGTAAAGAACAGCTTAGCTTAAAAAAGCAATTCTGTGGTTGGCCGTCACTATCATCAGTGCTATGCGAAGTTCTGATTGGATGATTAGCTTGCTGTGTGATTGGTCCAGTTGTCAGTGATGCATATTGTATAAGTACAGGTTCTACTGACCATTTTTTGAGCTCAAGTAACATTTGCATTGTACATTTTATATATGCCTAATAGCTTTTGTTCTAATATTTGACAATGTCCAGTTAAACACATTCTGCCAGTGAAATGCCCAATATCTAATGTCTTCGCCTTTAAAAAGCCTGATGGGAATATGGCTTTGGTATGTTACTATGGTGCAGTTAACATAACCAGAACTTGTATGACAGACAGGCAACATATTCACATGCAGTGACTGGGTATCTTAAATTAGGTAGAGAGAGTGTAGCTCTAAGTGTGTGGTCTGGCAGAGCCCCTGCACATGTGAAGTCCAGGGCACTGGGCCAGGGCTTCTTAACCCTTTAAAATCCTCACTCTTGCCCTGCAAACCAAAGGGTCACTGGTTCAATTCCCAGTCAGGGCACATGCCTGGGTTGCAGGCCAGGTTCCCTGGTGGGGGGTGTGTGAGAGGCAACCACACATTGATGTTTCTCTCCTTCTCATTCTCCCTCCCTTCCTCTCTCTCTAAAAATAAATAAATAAATCTAAAAAAAATCTTCTCTCTCTTTAGCCAAACATAAAAATGTCACGTGCCTCCTCAATCCAGAATTTGGAATATGGTTTTGTGGTGGCCCTGCCCCATGGTAGAGATCATCAGAGTCTATTCTCTGATGATCTCTCCCTGTCCAGAGGCTTAATTTCTGTGACTTGTATGGTGAATAGGGTAGGGTTTTTCTCAAATATAAAATTATTAAGAATTAAATATGCCTTTTCAAACTAACACCTCTTCCTATTTTCAAATGGCCACCCTTCACCTTTGAGGATTGCTGCCCCAAAGCTAATTCTGTTCCTTCCTTTCTTATTAATCTCCTCTGTTTATTCACCCTTCAAACATCTGGATCATATGAAACTCAGAAAATGTGCTAGTAAACACTTGACAGTGTGAACTGGGTGATTTGGACTCTAAGCCAAGGCTTGCCAGTAACTATATGTAAGTCACCTAACCTACTTCACTAAGTCTGGGTAAAAATATGGTCACATGCTTTTGTTCTTTCAATTGTTTGCTCCCTATTTTCCAATTATCGAGAAGTCCAGTATCTCCTTTTTGTGGCTCCTCCATCCTGATTGTCTAAGAATCCTGAAAGTTTCCTCAGTTTACAGGGAGCCAGAGTCTGAGGGATCTATTGATGTCTGTTGAAGAGAGGCCCTGTACCATTCAGTGGGGATAGCACGTGCTTTACCCAGTTGTGGTACAAATGAAATGAGCTAGTACAGCTCCAAGTGCTTAGTATATAGATGAATATACCTGGCACTAAGTAGGCACTCAGAGATTTAGTTGTTACATTATGTTACTGGGCCTCAGTTTTCTGCCTACCCAGAGGATCTCTGGAACCATCCCAGATGTGGCAAATGGTAGGGAACAGATGGAGGCCTGGGTCGCCTGCAGGCTGGCATAGAGCCTGGAGGCCACAGTGGACCAGTCCCTGCCCCTCTCTGAAGCCTCTGGCTATCTTACTCCAATTTCCTGAGCTTGGTCTGCCCCTTGTAGGTGGAGACAGAATCGGAGTAGTACAGAATTCCTTGTAAATCAAATGATTTGTTCTGGCTCAGAGAAGAAGTAGTTCTAGGGTGTACAGTCTAAAAAATTACTGCCTCAGCTCACAGGGCTGGTTGGTGGGAGCTGAGCCTTAACCACGGTCTCCCTGAATGCAGAGCTTGACTTTCAACCCAGGGAGTGTTCTGCCGTCATCTTGGAAGGGGATGTTCTGGAGAGCAAGGCTGTGGCTCATTTAGTTTTGCATTCTCCCCATTCCAAGTGCGGTGCCTTGTACACAACAAGAAATATCCCTTCTCCACGTCAACTGCTATTACAGACACTCAGGTGCTCATGAATGTTCACATACATGTGCACACAGGCACATACAAGTCCACATATGAACTCTTTCTGCCCCCCATCTCTTTGCTTCTCCCTTTTTCCTACTTCTAGGCCACAATAATTAAAAACAAAATGCACCAAAAAAGGACAAAATGTACAGTGCATATAAACCTTTTCTTCATCTTTGAGTAACTATTGTTGCCTTACAGCTTTCTCTCTCTCTGCTTTAATATTTCACATCCCGTAGAGTGCACCTTTCTTGGAAAATGACAACACCCTATCTCTTTAACAAGCTTGGTGACTAGCACATAAAATATCCCCAAATAATGATTTATTTTAGATGATGTGAAAAAGATTCACTGTTCAGATATATTCAAGGTTAATGATTGTGCACCTGAAACCTGCATAAATGTGTTATCCAGTGTCGCCCTAATAAATTCAATAAAAAGGAAAAAAGGTTAATGAATCATTAATATAAGAACCCCATTTGCTAATCCATTTACCTATTTGGGCTGTGTTCTAGAAGTTCACTCAGGGTCAATTTGCTTGTTTTTAGGGGGAACTACATTATCTATTATGTCATAATATAAGGTATTATATAGTATGATGTATAATAATGAATACTAATAGCAGTAATAATAATTGCCACAATTTATTGAGTACCAGGTACTTAACATAATTATCTCTATTTTTCACATCAACCCTGCAAGATTGGTATCCATTTTATAGGTGAAACTGAGCTTCAACTAAATTAAGGAACGTCCTTTTAAGAGCACACAAGGTCAAATACATTTCTTGTCCCAATAACAGCGCCTGCTAAAGGGGCAATGACAGGCCATGCATGGCCTCCCTTACCACTCCTCCTCCACTCACCAGCCACAGCTGGTGGGCACCTGATTCCATGCAGGCTAATTGTGGTTGTGGCCTGGTTGGAACACATGAGCTTGGCTAATCTGAGTCTCCCTTAGGAATTTGAATGGGGAAACATGGGAAGAAACAGTACGTCTGTAAGAGCAGGAGCTGGGGCTGAAAGGCTCAATCTGAAACTGATGAATGAGTGTTAGGGAGTGAGGCCGAGGAGGCTGTGATGGGCCCCATTCAAACCCAAGTTTATGGAGGAGTAGAAGGCAAGCAGAGACTTTAACACAGTGGAAGGAGATAAATGGGTGTGGGAGAGAAAGAATCCCATGCAGAGAGTAGCCAGGTCAGTGCAGAGATCTCTGGGGCCAGGTGCTGCAGCCCCGGCCCCAGTTTTTGTGCCAGGTAGCCCTAAAAACCCGTCATCTCTTGAGCTGACTTCAGTGGGTGTCAGATCCTTTCAACCAGGAGAGCCAAATGAGAAGACACAGCCTGTAAGTGCTGGAAAGGGGACGGGAACCCCAGTTTTGTGGCTATGGAGCCTCTGCTCTTGTCACTGTACCCCTTTGGTGTATTACAAATGCTGCCCTGGCCCACCATGACCCACACAGTCACCTTAATGTTTCTGAAAAAGAGCCAGTAGCGGACTCAAGTTTCTTGAGTCCATGTCCCAAGTCTTGGTCTGCTTTCAGAGCCCTGAGCAGGGTGGTGGGAGTTAAGAGTCTCGGGCAATTGGGAGGTCTCCAAACAACTCTGGGGCAGGACTCCAGCTTCCAGGGAGGACGGTGCTACAGTGGAGGGGGAGTGGGTGGCAAAGGCGACAGGATGGGTTCTTGGCAGTACAGAGGAGAACAGGGACTCCTCCAGGATGAGGAGTGGTTTCATCCCTATGTGCATCCCCAGTTCTAAGATTGGATCTGACATCTATTTGAATGAGCATGTGAATAAGTGAATGAATGAGTGAATGAATAAATGAATGGCAGAAGTGGGTCACAGCCCCTCTTCAAATGTATGGGTCATTCTTTGGTTGAGTTTCACCAGATTGAAGAACACCTGTGTCTATCTCTAAGAAGCGATCTATGCAACAATATGAGTAATGTTTATAGTGACTTCAGCTTAAAAAATACCAAAGCAGATGTAGTGACCATGGTAATGACATAGTTCAAAGACTACAAATGGACAACTCTGGATTGCGTTTGCCCTGCTTACAAAAACACCGCTCACTTTGTCTTCCTCTGTCTGGAGAGAGTGAGGTTTTCATTTTAAGAGGCTGACTAAAAAATGCAGAGCCACTTCCTGGGCACACTTCCAAGTGACTACATCTCTCTCGCAGCGCTCCCCGGAGCCCCAGCCCCAGCTGCCTGGGGCGGGGCCTCCAGCCGTTGGTAGCTGTTGGAGCTACCACAGAAGCAGTTATCTGCAGCCCGCCAGAAATACTGTGCTTTTAGGTCCTCCCAGGGAACAGATAACGTCTTTGGCCTTTGCACTGAAGAGACATCAGAGCTTGTGATTGGCCAGGCTGGTGTGTGTGAAATACAGATGTCTTACACTGCTGAGTATGGCATTCCTTCCAGCTGAGTACCCCAGGGTGTGGGTAAGTCTTACTGCTTGAAGTCTGCCCTTGTTGGTTGTGAAATAGTCAACGCCAAGCATTGTGACTTCCCAAGGGCATGACTTAGCATACTTCCTAATCCTGCTGAGCCTCAGTTTCCTTTTCTGTGAAACAGAGATGGTATTATGCTCTGCTTTGGAAGGATAGAAGGATCCTAGCCATCACAGGATGTTGTGAGAGCCTAAAGAATTAACATATCCAGAGTACCTCATCTGGTACCTGGCATAGAGCAGACACAAAAGAGCTCCCATTATTTTGGAAGCAGCAGTTAAAAAAAGGTTTCAGTGCCAATGTCCCTGTTTTTATTTCTAACAGTACAGTATTTCCCTAAAAGACTCAGCCGATATATTCTACTTCTTAATCATACCTGTGTAGCTAACAAATAAAACTTGGGGAAGGTAGTGCCTGAGGAAAGTTTGTCAGACTGTGTTCCCTTTCTCTTTTTCCCTTCTAGACTCTGACTGCTCCTGCTCCGTTTGCAGACGAAGTCAGCTGCCAGTGCCAAGCACCCCATGAAAAACTGACCATTGCTCAAGCCCGCTTAGGAACCCCAGGTGAGGCTGGACTTCTCCTCCGAATGGGCCCTGTCTTGACATGCAGAGTAGCAGAAAGGCCTGTGATTATTGAAGCAGCACTCGCTTTCAATCAGAGTTGAATTTAGAGAGTATAGCACAGCGCAAGGATAACTCGAACAGCAATAAACTCGACACAGCAAAGTAGTCAAGGAAAAGATGCAGCGAGATGTCGATGTCGATGTCGGGGCCCCAGCTCTGCCGTGTACTAGTTCTACAGTCTTGGGCAAGTCACAAGAATGATCTAAATCTGGTTTCTCATGTGTGAACAGGGAAAATGATACCTGCTTCACAAGGTTTTGGTGACAACTAGGCTTGGTTAACAATTCCGAAGCATTTTTTTCAACTGTGAAGGGTTATACAAACCTAAGCTGCATAATTATTACCATTCTTAAAAGTTTGTGTTTTAAACACGTTTTTCCTAGTGCCCCTTAAATTAAAGAGCCTGGGTTCTGCTCTAGGAGTTTGTTCGTTCAGTCACTCCTTTAGTGAATACCAGAGCTGGAGAGGGAAGAGATTTAAAAAGAACTAGAAGGTACTGCCTTTGTTTCCCAAGAGCTTCATTATAAAGAGACAAGACAACTAGATATGAAATAAAACCCACCTGTAGCATGCATGCATGTATTTAGGGCAGCGATTTTCAACTGGTATGCTGCAAGAATTCTTAGAACATGTAATACCTGACTCTTTAGTCATGGGCACTGACCTCTCTTCCCTTAGATTGTCAAATTAGAAAAAAATGACAACAGCCAAGACAACAATAGCTGGCAAAAAATATACATATTTTTGTAATAATATTTTTTGGTGTGCCGCAGAATTTTAGTAATTAGTTTATGTGTGCCATGAGATGAAAAAGGTTGAAAATCACTCACTGGCTTAGGGGTTAAATCCTGCAATGCAGATGAAAACTGATGGTTTTAAGAAAGGCAGCGGTTCATGTGACCTGGCTGGAGCAGTCAGACAAGACCTGGGAGCCCACCTCAGCTGATCCTTTAGGGAAAAGTAAGATTTGGACACTGTCAGTAGAAAATGGAAAGGTATTCTGAGCAAGTGGAACAGGAATAGTGAAGGCGTGGAGGTAGAGCGCTGTGTAGCAGTAAATGAATGGCATTCCACGTGGTTGGGATGGAGTGGAAAATCAGACTGGTTAGCCGTATAAGATGGCTCCGAAACAAACACCCCCAAGTTTAATAGAATCCACGGGACAAAGGACAGCTTTCTTAATAACAATAACTGGATATTTATTAACTGTTTACTATTAAGTTCTCTACATGTGTCGTGTCACTTCACTGTTACAATGCTGTGGTTAGTACATGTCACAGGGGAGGAAGCGAAGGCTTTAGAGAAGCTGTGAATCTGCGCAGGGCCATTCAGCCAGTAAGTGGCAGTGGGTCGCACACTTGAGCATGCATCAGGATCACCTGGATGGCCTGTGAAAACACAGATGGCTGGCCTTCACCCCCAATGTCTAATTCAGTCCAGCTGGGGTGGGGCCTTAAGAACTTGCCTCTCCAGCAAGTTCCCAGGTGATGCTTCTGCTGAGGGACCGCACTTTGAGAACCACTGGTAAGTAGTGAAGCTGAGATTTGATCTCAAACCTCTTTGTGTCTGAGCTAGTTCTCTCAACCATGACACTGCCTCCTCTTTAAGAGTACAGTAGGTCCTCTAATGAAGTCATTTTACTCAATGTCGCTTTGTTATAACATTGAAAGAAGGAACTCCTACCCTTTGCAACAGCATGGATGAAAATGAAGTGTTATGTTAAGTGAAATAAGCCAGACTTCGAAAAACAGAAACCATGTGATCTTACCTATATGTGGAAGGAATCAACAAAACAAACAAAGTTGCAAAATAGAACCAGAGGCATGGAAACAAGGAACAGAGTGAAAATGACCAGAGGAAGTGGGGGAGGGGGATAAGGGAGGAAAGAAGGGAAAGGGCCTAGCTAAAGAACAAGTATAAATGACCCATAGTCAAGGTCAACAGGGTAGGGATTGACTGTGGGGAAGTGGGGGTAGGGAGTGGGGCAGAGGAGTGCAACAGGGGAAAACTGGGACAACTGTAATAGAACAATAAAAAAAATAGATGCCATAGGAACCTAACTCTTTTTTATATCAATTAGCCTAAGGTAAAACTGGTTTCATTATACTTGTTTCAGTTCAAGTTGCAGAACCTATTGAGGATGTTACTATACCTTGGAGAGAGTGAAGTGAGGAGGAGAGCCAGCCAAACTAGTAAACTGTTTTGTTACTTCTTTTGAGAAAGCCAGGAAATGGCTTGGGGCAGTAGTTCAGAGCAGCTAAACCAGTTGTTCCCCACCTTCTTTGGTGTGTAAGGAATTGCCTGGTAAGTTTGTTAAAGAAGCAAGTTTCCTGCTCTCTCGCCACCACGCCTAAATCTGAGATGAGGCCCGCATTTTTAACGAACAGCCCAGGTAAATCTAAAAGATGAAATGGAAGTCCAGGTAGTTGTGAAGAGAACAGATTTGACCTAAAGTTAAAGGATGAGCTTTAGTCCCAAGGAGAAAAGGAACCTGCTTTCCTAGGGAAAGGGAAAGCAAGTCTAACTTACTCTAAATCTGCCAGGTGCTTTCCTCCAGGGGTGTTCAACCTTTTGGCATCTCTGGACCACACTGGAAGAAGAGTTGTTTTGGGTCACACATTAGATATACTGTGACACGTAATCACACACACAAAAAATCTCGTAATGTTTTAATTTATGGTTTTGTGTTGGGCTGCAGGTTGAACACCCCTGAGTCTGTCTCATTTAGTCTTTGCAAAATCTGTGTGTGAGATGGGTATTAGTGTGTCCTTTCTACAGACATGCTAATGAGGCAGATGAGATTTGGAGAACTAAAAAGTGATTTGTCAAATTTCCTAGCTGACGGGGTAGAGCTAGGATTTGACCCCAGGTATCTTTTACCTCAAAACCCTTCTTTGTCCTCCACATTGGGCTGCCCCGTGGAACACAGGCCACAGCAGACCATGGAGCTCAGAGAAAACATGCTCAGGCATTGAACTGGAGGTTGGAAGGTATAGTAACAAGGTAGACAGACAGTGGTTGTGGTCTTGTGCAGTGGCTAGGCTGTCTGTCATGCTCGCTGCTGTTTCACCAGTACCTGGAGGTGTACTTGTCCAGTACTGTGTGCTCAGTAAATATTTCATGAGTGAATGAATGAATGAATAAATAATGAATGAAAGTTTGGGACAAGAGAAGGAGCTTGTTTTCTAGAAATAGAATGAGAGCTGGTTTGATGCTCTGAGCCAGCATCAAGCTAATTGGGAGAGATTGTGTGCCTGCATGGTGCCTAACTGCCAAGCAGTTTAAACCTGGAGAATAAGGCTAGAATAAGATGGTAGTACTTTCTCTTTTTTAACAGTTTCTAAATTTTATTTTTAAAATATTTTATTTATTTTTAGACAGGGAAAGGGTGGGAGAGAGAGGGAGAAACATCAACGTGTGCTTATCACTTGTGTACTCCCTACTGGGGATCTGGCCCACAACCCAGTCATGTGCCCTAGACTGGGAATTGAACCGGTGACCATTTGATTTGCAGGCTGGCATTCAATCCACTGAGCCACACCAGCCAGGGCAGATGGTGGTGCATTTTGAAAGAGCTGGGTGGTGGGCTCTGTTGAACATGGGTCACTGCAGGAGAAGTGAGATGGAGGAAAGCTGGACTCCTGGTCTTAGAAGAGAAATTCTCCCCTCTTATCTCAGGTGATGACCCTGGGAAGTTATCCAAGAGAATCTGTGACTTTGATGGGCACCTGGCTGAGGAACTTCAGTTAGAAATTCCTTTATTTAGAACTTCTAACATCAGTGTTAAAATGTGACAGAACATTAGTTCTTTCATTGCCTGGAATGCTCTGATAACTATTGTTTTATTAGAGTAGTGGTCCTCAAATTTCAGGATACTTAAGAGTCCCCTGGAGGGCTTGTTAAAACAGCCCTGGCTGGTGTGGCTCAGTGGATGAGTGGCCTGCGAATCAAAGGGTCGCCGGTTCAATTCCCAGTGTAGGGCACAGGCCAGGTCCCCAGTAGGGGGTGCATGCGATGCCACCACACATTGATGTTTCTCTCCCTCTATTTCTCCCTCCCTTCCCCTTTCTAAAAGCAAATAAATAAAATCTTCAAAAAAAAAAAAAAGACAGCAGGGCTCTATCCTTGGAGTCTCTGATTAGCTAGGTCTGGGGCAGGGCTCAAGAATTTGCATCTCTAACAAGGTCCTAGACGATATTGATGCTGCCTGTCCTGGGACCCCACTGCAAGAACCACTGCTGAAGAGCAACTGTCGATAGTGGTTGGAGGGAGTGACAGGGAGATTATCCTAAATAATTGTTGAAGCATTGTACTGTTACTAGAAAAGCTCAAGCATTTTTTTAATCTTCCTGTTGTACTGCTCTTTAAAGAAAACAAGAAAAACATTACTTTTTTGAAGTGTTTGGTAATTTTCAAGAGTAGTAAGCAATTACCTTTTTGTGGCACTGTCTTGAGCATTCCATCAAAAAAGACAAAACAGACCCACTCTAGGGGTTTATAATGTGCTTCAAGATTATAGTTATAACTGAAATCTTCCACTATCTTTTCCACTAGCCCTATTTTTATGACTCAATACAATTGCTTACAATATGTCTCACAATCTTAGGTCTGCCCATACAGGGGCTAGCATATAAATTCTAAAGGAGGTAATGACAAGCTCCAGCCATAGCTCTTAGCTTCTGGGCTTCGTCAGTGAGGTCACAAGGATGATGAAACATCACAAAAAATAGTAGAGCAGTCGGAGTCAGCACCTTTGACCTTTGCTTAACTAGTGCAGCTGTGGAGCTATGCATCTACAGGGTTCAGTATGTATCCTGAGACAGAGAGAATCAGTCCTCTGTCTTCAGGTAAAGGAAAAGTCCAAGTGATTGTTTCATAGGTTCCTTTTCATCAAAGTTCCGATTTCCTATTTTCCTTCTCATAAAGGGGATTTATATTATTCTGTTTCCACAGTGTGTAGAGTTTCCAGATTCATTTTTCAAAAGTTACCTTAATGATTTTTGTTTCATTTGTATGCCACCTATATACTATTATTTAAATTTTCTTTAATGTACTCTTTTAACTTTAATGTATTTAAAAAGCAAACATCAGTCATTATTATCTATTGAAAGTAGTATTGCTGGCTTTAGAGAGAAGGTAGAAAGTTTATATAAAACTGTAAACTTTATAAAATATGTAACTATTATATTTTAAAAGGTTAATTTTTGTGCCATTTTTCGCACAATTGTACACAAAAACAATACTAGTTACCGTAATTACTGGGTGTTGGGAATTCATAGTTTGGTTGTATGAGAGGGAAGTCCACTCTCCCCTACCTACCTCACAGAGTTGATGTGAAGATCAAGTGAAATATATGGGTTCTGTAAGTCATATGTACTTTTAAGGCATTATTTAAATGTAGCTTGCTGATACCCATAATCAAAGATGAATAACCATTTTTGTTGTTACTTGAATCTGAAGTAATACTGAGAAACATCATAACCTGTAGGGGTAGGCTTAACTTTTTAACCAACTGCCAAACTAATTTCCAAAACAATTGTACCATTTTACATTTCCACCAGCAATGTATAAGAGTTCCAGTTACTCTATATCCTCACCAATACTTGGTAAGTATAGTCAATATTTTTTTTTAATTTTAGCCATTCTAGAGGTATGAAGTGGTATATAGCATTCTGGTTTTAATTTGTATCTCCCTGATGATTAATTATATTGAGCATCTTTTTATGAGCTTTGCTATCCATGTATTTATTTTCTTTGGTGGAATGTCTTCATTTTTTGCCCTTTCAAAAAATGAGTTATTGGTCTTAATAATTATTGAGTTTTGTGAGTTCTTTATATATTTTATATACAAGTCATATAGCTGATATATATTTTTTGCAAATAGTTTCTCCCTATAACTTGCCTATTCATTTTTGAAGATTGTTAAGTTTTAAATAAGGTCCAATTTATCTCTATTTTTGGGGGGGTTATATAGTGTACCCTTTTTGGTCCTATTTAAGATATTTTTGCCAAATTCACTGAGATTTTCTCCTGTTTACTCCTAGAGGTTTTATAGTTACAGCTCTTACATTTGGGTCTATGATCCATTTCAAATTAACTTTTGTATATGGTGTGAGGTGAGCGGTAAGCATAGCCCCTTTCGTCATTTCATTTACTTTGAAGTGAATAACTTAAAAAAATTTGGAACGTCAGATCCAAAAGTTAAAACAATCAGATTTTCCCCACAGCACTGTACCATTATTTGTATCCATGTTCCTCAAGCAAATACTCAGCATTATTTTGGTGTTATGCCCAATATGTTATGTTTAAGTTATTTAAAGCACAGTTATCAGTATAGACATATATTTTACCAGATCATACTTATCTAATATACTTATTATAATCATTCAGGATAAAGAGGAATTTACTTGAATTGCTTTAGAAATTTTATAATCTGTGGACAGAAAGAGTATAATGCCATTGTATTCATTTTCTATGGTGTATAACATGTTGCCACAGACCTAGCGGCGTAAAACAGTGCAGTTGAGCCGACCCCCTTCCCCGTGAGCCGCCTCCCTTCCGGCGAGCCACCCCCACTTCCCGTGAGCCGACCCCCTTCCGGGGAGCTGACCCCGGTCCCGTGAGCGGAACCCCTGCCCCGTGAGCGGAACCCCTTCCCAAGAGCCGGCCCCGGTCACGTGGCCCAGCGCACTCAACTAGGTGGTGCCGGGTGACCTGAGGTGTCGCACGAGACTCGCTCATCGCTGTTGTGGCCGTCGTCGTTGACGAAGGTAGTAAAATGGCACCTGTGGGTCTGCGGCTCGGCGATTTGGTGTGGGGGAAACTCGGCCCGTATCCTCCTTGGCCGGCAAAGATTATTAATCCGCCCAAGTGTTTGCGGAAACCACGTGGAAAGAAATGCTTCTTCGTGAAGTTTTTTGGAATGGAGGATCACGCGTGGATGGAAGTGGGGCAGCTAAAGCCATATCACGCGCATAAGGAGGAAATAATAAAGATTTACAAGGGAAAGCTGTTCCGGCGAGCTGTGGATGATGTGGAAGAGTTCATCAGAACAGCCGTAGAGGAAAACCAGGCAGCAGCCCAGCGTTCTGCTGGTGGCAAGAATCGGCGCAGCTCCAGTGGGGAGAGAAGTAGGCCCGGCTTGTGTGGGAAGAAGCGCAAGCTTAGCTTGTTTGAAAGCGTGCTGAAGAACGTGGGGGAAGGAAAGAAGACGGTGTCTTCAGGATCTTCAGAGAGAGGCTCCAAGTCTCCTCTGAAAAGAGCGCGACGGCCGCGTCCCCAGAAGCGTGGGCGGCCCCCAAAGAAGAACGTTGCCATTCCTGAGTCTAGTACCATGAAGGAGACGATGGCTAGACGCATGGCCGCATTTAATGGGCAGCAGACTGTGAGCAGTGAGCCTGATAAACACACAGACCTCCACTTCCGTCACTTCTCGCTCAGCCAAGCCGAGAAGCCGGCCCTCTGCTACCAGGGAATCCCAAAGATGCTGAAAATACGTGAAGAGAAGATTGGGTCCGTCTCCATCCAGGCAGCAGACAGCACGATCATGAATGGCAACATCACGCCCACCGACAAAAAGATAGGGTTTTTGGGCCCGAGCCTCATGGGAAGAAGCATGGTCTCCAACTTGCTAAAAACAGGTCACACGGTTACTGTCTGGAACCCGACTACAGAGGAAGAGGGGGCTTGCCTAGGAAGAACCCCCGCTGAAGTTGTTTCAGCTTGTGACATCACCTTTGCCTGCACGGCAGATCCAGAGGCAGCCAAGGATCTGGTGCTGCGCCCCGGTGGTGTGCTGCAAGGGATCTGCCCCGGTAAGTGCTACGTGGACATGTCAACAGTGGATGCTGACACAGCCGCCGAGCTGGCTCAGGTGATCATGTCCAGGGGAGGCCGCTTTCTGGAAGCAGCGGTCTCGGGCAACCGTCAGCTGCCTAATAATGAGATGCTGGTGATCTTAGCAGCCGGAGACAGGGCCTTATATGAGGACTGCAGCAGCTGCTTCCAGGCAATGGGGAACGCCTTCTTTCTAGGTGAAGTTGGCAATGCAGCCAAGATGATGCTGATTATGAACATGGTCCAGGGGAGCTTCATGGCCACCATCGCTGAGGGGCTGACCTTGGCTCAAGTGACAGGTCAGTCTCCACAGACATTCCTGGATATCCTCAATCAAGGAAAATTGGCCAGCATCTTCTTAGACCCAAAGTGCCAAAATACTCTTCAAGGAAACTTTAAGCCTGATTTCTGCCTGAAATACATTCAGAAGAATCTTCACTCAGCCATTGCACTGGGCAATGCCATCAACCATCCAACTCCAATGGCAGCTGCAGCCAATGAGGTATACAAAAGAGCCAAGGACCTGAACCAGTCTGACAACGGTATGTCTGCCCTATACCAGGCCTACATACGCTAAGCTCCTTCTCCCTCAGTTTCCCCTCTGACCTCCTCTTCCTCACATGGGGTTGGGGGGTCCTGGGACTTTTCTCTGGACCAGTTTACTTGTCTTCATCTCCTTTTATGCAGTTTGAGACTTGTCATCAATATGGCACATAGCCTTATTCCTCCCCTGAAGGTCCTAGGAGGGGGAGGAGTTGCCAGCAGGCTGGCCTGTGGCAAAGCACAAGTGGGTGTGTGTTCTCACACACACACACACACGCACACACATGCTCTTACTCCAGGATAGAAGCTGCCCAGAAACTGCTTCCTGGCTGTTTCGCCCCTTCTTCCAAGCTTGCCTTATCTCAGACTCCTTCCAGTCGAGGAACTACAATCAGCAGTGAGAACTGGAAGCCTTCCCACTGCTTCCCTCCGAACAAAGCAGCTGTGGGCCACCTTCTCCACTGAACTGCTTGCAGAGAGGGGCCCTGGGCCAAAATGAACCAGCACAGACTAAACAGAGGATCCTGTGGGCCCCGCAGCCTCAGGTGACCAGCTGATGAGGACTAGCATGTTTAAGCTACCAGCGTGCAACCAACTCTCCAGAAATGCCTTTGTGAACTGAAAAGAGATGGGCAAAGGTGAGCAAAGACAGGACTCTATGACTTTGCGGTGACAGCAGCAAACAGTCAGCCTGTAGGTGAGCCTCCCAGAAGCCTGCTCTTCAACACCCGCCCTGGAAGTCGCCATCTCTGCGGAGCCCTGGACTGGGTTCAGACTTTTTTTGCTTTGGTACAGGGAGCGCTTACGCCTTAACAGGCTGTTCTGGTATTTACGTTTGCATTCCAGGCCTTGAGAAGGGGGCCTAAGGGCCACCAGTGAGAAGTGAGGAGATCCTTCCTGTTTCCATTGTGCCTCAGGCTCTTCACCTGGTTCTGAAGAGCAGCTCTGACCCCGGTCACCTCACAGGGGTTCCACCTTTTCCAGCCTGCCTCTGTACAAGTCCTCTGAGTGCCTGCCTACCTCTATTCTCCCTTTTCCTCCCTTGGAGACAGTATTTCTTCCTGTCTATCCCTTTGACCCAGACCCAGCCTGACCTACAATGACCGTTTCTTAAGTTCAGCTCTTGAAACGGGAACGAATGTTTTCACTGCTTGGTCTGTGGTGCTTCCAGGGCCCTGGGGGCCTATCAGGAGGGGAAAGGAAAACTGGGCCTGACTGACCCTCAACTAACTAACCCTCAGAGGTGGATCTAAGACATCCTTGAGTACCTAGTATTTCTCTTTAGATAGGGGACCAGCAGGGGGTGGAATGTGGCATAAGAATAAGGAGAAGTCACCTAAAGAATGTCAATATTGTCTTCCTTTGCATGAGAGACACTTTACAGAAGGTCAGCATTTATAATGAATATATATAATAGCCCTGGCATGGGTTTGATTCCTAGTCAGGGCACATGTCTGGGTTGCAGGTTTGGTCCCCATTTGGGGTGTGAGTTGCAATCGATTGATGTTTCTCTCCTCTCTCACCCTCCCTGTAAAATTGATAAGCATATCCTAGGGTGAGGATAAAGATAGTGACTATTTAATTATATACGTAAAATGAGGTGGCCACACTACTGTGGGTCCCTCCCCCTTATGACCTTGGCCCTTTTCTACTCATCAGAACACAGGTTATGGGATCTCAGAAGACATGGGGTGAGGGCAGGGACGATGCCTGTGGGGTTTTGGCACAGTTGATTTCCCTTGGATTTTGAGTTCTTTTCTGTCTGAACATAAAGCCTGTTACAGTCCTAGCTGGACACTAGGGGTAGGAGTGGGAGCAGATACTGTAATGAAAGTGGTTACTCAGTGTTGTTTTTTTTAAGTGTTTGTTTTTCTTTTTAAGAAACACTTATTGATTGATTTTAGAGAGAAACATCATTTTGTTGTTCCACTTATTTATGCATTCATTGGTTGATTCTTGTAATGTGCTCTGACCAGGGATCAAACCCACAACCTTGGTATATCAGGATGATGCTCTAACCAACTGAGCTACCTGGCCAGGGCTCAATGTTGTCTTAATATTGTTGATAATTCTGTAAAGTTCCTTTCATGGATAATATTTCTGTTTAAGCTATTTCACCTTTGCTTTGAGATACTTCCCTTTTGATTTGAGAGTCCTTGAGAGTAGATGACATCTCAAAACATTGATTTTAAAAAACACTGAAGCAGAAGAATGAAAAATCCTAGTAAGTTTTAAGGTATACAACACAAATATTCTAATAGATTTAATCTTACAGGTACTTTGGGTTACCCGAAATATTTTATGATTTCCACTCTGATTCTTCTTTGATGCATGGGATTTTTAGAAGTGTCTTTCTTCTAAACATTTGGGAATTTGTTATCTTTCTGTTGTTGATTTCTATTTTAATTTCCTTGAATTAGAGCATATACTCCATAATTTCAGTTGTTTGAAATTTTGAGCATTAAATGGCTAGTTTACAGTGTATTTTGATAAATGTTCCATGTGCATTTGTAAAGACTGTATTCTATAACATTTGTTTGTAATGTTCTATAAATGTAGCCTAGATCAAGTTGTCAGGTTGGTTAATAATCACCATGCTTTTTAAATCTTCTGTGTGCTTACTATTTTTTATCTGCTTAATCTATTAGTTGTTGAAGAGGTTATTACATTTCCAAATAGATATCGTTAATATTAAAAAGGTTATACATATTAAAATACAAAAATTTTCAAAAAAAGAGAAATCCTTCCTATTGAAGGAGAAAATGTGACATGTGAAAAAGTTTGCGAGAAAGCCCCCTTTTTTTTTTTTTGCTTTAAATGACATTTTTTTTTCCTTTAAATGATACATCTTCTAGGTAACTAAGGTTGTTACTTTTTTTTCCCTTTAAATGACATATCTAGGTCACTAAGGTTGTGAATTTTTATTTTTGCTTTGTTTTTCATGAACGTGTCTTTCAGAATAGGATTGTGTGATAATGTTTAAATGGCAAAAACAAAGCATGATTTTGTACAATTAACAAAAGGCTACTGCAAGCAGAATAAAACGTTTCTTGGTAAAAATAAAAAATAAAACAATACGCATTTGTTACGTCATAATTTCTATGGCTTGGGAGTACAAGCCTGGCTTAGCTGAGGCCTCTGCTCAGGGTCTCACAAGGCTGTATTCAAGGTGTCACCCAGTGCGCAGTTCTTATCTGGAGGCTTGACTGGTGATAGGTCTACTTTTGAGCTCACTCAGGTTGTTGGAAGAATTTATTTTCTTGCAACTGGGGAGACCAAGGATCTAGCTGCTTGCTGGTTTTCAGGCAGAGGTTACCCTCAGCTCCTGGAGGAACCTGCAGTTCCTTGCCATGTGGCCCTCTCTAGAGGCCCTTTCACAACGTGGCAGCTTGCTTCTTCAAAGCCACCAAGGGAGAGTGAGTCTGCTAGTGATATGAAGTCTTAAATACTGTGACATAATCATGGGCATGCCATCTATCATCTTTGCCACAGCCTGCTCTTGAGAAGCAAGTCACAGGTCCCACTCACACTTCAAAGGGAGGGGGTCACACAAAGGTGTGAACAGTAGGGGGCAGAGATTATTGGGAGCCACCTTAAGGTGTCTAAACTGTGGCCATGGAGTCTCTGTGCTCCTACTTGTGATAATTATCAAGCCCCAGCTCCACAAGCCAGTGCTCCCTAAGACAGATGCTCTGGAGAGTCCCCAGATGCCTTAAAGGATGTCCAGAGAAACCTCAAACAAAAGGTTAAGACGAACGTACAAACTAAAAAAAGCCACATTCTATTAAAAATTTTACTATGGAGAATTTCAAACATACACAAAAACAATGTGATAAACCTCGTGAGTCTGTCACCCGTACCTAACAGCCACCAAACCATGGTCAGTCATGTCATTTCATCTGTATATTTGTGTGCCTGTATATAAAATACAGTGGTCCCTCGGTATTCGTCATTAATTTGTTCCAGAACTCGTGACAAGTGCTGAAACCTATGAGTCCTGAGCAGGCGCTGAGTGCTGAAACACTTTTTTCTTGTCAAAATGTGAGAAGTACAGGGTTTGACGAGTTCTGAAACCAACGAGTACTGACATAGGACTGTAACTTTTTAAAGCATTATCACTAGACCATTATCTAACCTAAAAAATTACCAGTAATTCTTTAATATCACACACATTCAGTGTTAACAATTCCTAGTTAAATCATTCTTTATTAATTGTTTGAACCCAAATCCAAATAATGTTTATACATTACAATATGTTTACATGTCTTTTAAGTATATGAAAAATCTGCAGGTCTCCCCTCCATTTCTCTTCCTCTTATTTTTCCTTGAAGTTTATTGGTTGAAGAGGCAGAGTTCCTTTTCCTTCTTTTTTTTAAATTTTTCCTTTCCTTTGGTCCTGCAGAGTTTCCCAATCTGGAAGTTGCTGACACATTACAGTTGTAAAAGTGGGCTTATTGCAAAATCAGTTCCACAAATACTCTTAAAAGATGTGTGCTAAATGGCCTTTTTCTCAATAATTATGTCATCTTTCTTTACTTTTCTTTCCTCCCTGCTTCTTGAATCCATTTATCTTGATCACCTCTGAATCAATAAGAAAAAGTTCTGTAAAACTGCCATCTGCTTCTCCTGGGGGTTTATAACTTAAAACAAATTTTCCTCAATTGAATTCAAATTGAATAAGAGCATTGAAACCAAGGATCCCTCATTAGGCAGTTTGTTATTTCAAAGCATTTCCTATTTACTGTGCTTTATTTAGAATACAGGATAATCCTGTGAAGGCAACTGTTTGTTCAAAATGGTGTATAATTGGAAATAATTGCAATCCCCTATCTGACATAAAGCCTCAAGTTTTTTCATGAGAAAAATTTAATTTATTAGAAACATTCTACCATCTGAATCTATTAATGTAACATTTAATTTATATTCCAAAGTAATAAGGTGGCACTACATCAAGAAATAATCACAATTTTAAATCTAAGTCTTAAAGATCACGCAACTGAAGTTTGTATTGATTTCTTTTTTAAATTTTATTTTGTAGTGTCAACGTAATACATGCATATAGTTTTAAAAATCAGTTAAGACTCTTAAGCTTATAAAAAAAATAAAACCAACAGCCCCTTTCCCTACCTGCCCCAGCCCGCAGTCTTGCTCCCTGTAGACACTCAGCATTTGACAATCAACTTGCCAAAAATGTTGTGGACATCTCTCATCCACTTTCATTGCCTTTTTTATTTCTTATACCTTTTTAATATTTTTCTCTGTAATTCTTGTAGTATTTAGGAGGAAGTAGAGATGTGTGTGTATGTTCAGTTTGCCACGTGTAGCTTGTGCTTTGCCATCTTTTCGCTTTGTAGCTCCTTTGGCGAGAGTCTAGAATGCTGTAAAACTTGCCACCCACCCTCTATGTCCCCCAGTGTCTCCCTGTAATTTGAGGGCATGGGTCTTTGGGCTGGCTCAGCAAAAGTGTCATCCTGCATTTTCTAGTGCAGCCTCTTGGCTTCCAGAGGGCTGTGGTGAAGTGTGTCCCTTTTCTTCATGGAAAAGCAGTTCACAGAGCTCCGTATGCCATTGTGGGAGCATCTGCTCCTGACCTTTCTCCTTAGGAAGGACTGCAGTATTGGTTGCTTGCCTCCAACCCTGAGCTCCACCCCACCACATGTAACTTTTGTCCTCCTCTCTTTGGGGACATGGTTTTCCCTCCCCCACCTCTCATGATACCGAAGAGGTTAGGGAGTGATCCTTATGCAGTGGTATGCTGGTAAATGTATAACAGTCAGCCCTCCAGGGGGACATAAGCCCTGATTTGTAGCACTTGCCAGTTTCTGTGGTGTAAATATTCATACCAAGGCTGATTTCAGGCTACCACTGTGACTTGGAGCTGGGAATAAAGGCGTATGTAACAGGGTCTCTTTGAGCAGTATGAGCAGCTCCTACACCACTCTGTCTTGGGCAACAGGACTCAGAGGTCTTCCTTCAGGACTGCCAGACTCAAGGATAAAGTCATTTGTCCTTTTCATTGAGCTCCTCAGTTACTCCTGCCTTGATATTCCCACAGCACTGACTCCACCAACCCTTTGGTTATGCTTGGTCTGTCTTGAACCGTTGCCTGCTCTGACACCCGAGACTCTGCTGTGGGTCAAGAGAACCCCCCAGTGCTCTATGTTTGTCTTTCCTGTTAACTAAAAATATGTGTTCTTAGTGCAAGCCAGTCTTAATTTTGTTACGTTTTTACTCTGTTTTGATGTCCTCAGAAGAACCTCTTTGTAAAATTAATTTCCTGCACTAACAGGAAATTGACGGTACCTGACCTTGTGTTCTATCCAGGTAAGCTTTCCTCTGGTGCTATACCAATGGAAGAATCAGTCAATGGGGATTTCTTCCTCTGCAATTCTGTTTATGATGTTTTCTTTCTCCCACAGTTGACAGGCCTGTCAGAGTATATGCAGATGGAATATTTGACCTCTTTCACTCAGGCCATGCAAGAGCCCTTATGCAAGCAAAAACACTGTTTCCCAACAGCTACTTGTTGGTAGGAGGTAAGAAGTACATTTTCTCTTTGTCTAGAAAACTCCTTTATAATGTGCTTCCTGAAAGGAATCCCTTTCAGAGTCTCCTCATTAAAATCTCACATGGTTAACACTCCCAATTTATCCCATATTGACTCTCATGTTCACTGCATGAAATTTAAAATGTTTAAAAAACTATAGAGGAAATTACATCATGTGATTTATACCTCACTGATCCCCAGACAGACAGAGGGTAACTGCTTCGTGGTTTCCATTAATGCGTTTCCTCTTGTGTTTGAGACTTGATACAATTTATGTTTGTAAAGTTTTCTAGAGGGTTAGGAGAAAAGCAATATTATTCCGGTGTCAAATCTTGGAGAGCTGAAAGGGGTTCAGAATAATTAAGGGTAAACAAGGTCATTGTTTATTTCCTTTGTGTGACCCACAGCACTTAGGATAATGCTGCGCTAACATTAGTGGCTCACAACAGCCCCAATTAGTTGAATGTATGCAGTGTGTTAAAGAAATGGAGATTTATATACCCAAGCAATCTTGGTTCACAGTGAAGAGACTGACTGACTTCATAAGCATGTGCAGGGAGAAGGGAGGTTATAGGTGGAATGAAATGTTCCTTCCCCAGAAGGCCTACAGAGTTCAACTTGGGTAAAAGGGACAGTACCTGAGTGGGGAGACCTGTATCTCACCTCTGTGGCTTCTGAAAGCAGCATATCCTTTCACTATGACCAGTTTTTGTGGCATTACATGAACCAGGTACCATCAACTCTTAGACCGCTACTGTGCAAATAAAGATGCTGATAAGAGACTATGTATCTGGGTTTTGTGGGGGTTTTTTTGTATTTCATTATTCTCTGCAAGTTTAAAACTACTTTTTGAATGTTTAAGAGGAACCCATCTACAGATTTTGCTGAGGATGGTGATCATGTGGTCATTGAATGGAATTCTTTCCCGAAGGAAGAGATGGTAAAGGCATTGGTTCCTGGACAAGTCATGCAGAGAGAACCTGAGGCAGGCAGAGAACGCATCTCTTGTTCATTTCCCTTTATCTTGAGCAGAAAACATTTCTTGAGTGAGCGCCACCACCCGGAGTCTGGTCCTAAGCTGCTGGGACCCTGGGGAGACCTCTGCAGTATTTGGGCTTTGGTCATTTTGGTGACTCAGATTTGGAGGTGGTTAGATGTTGGCCACACTTAACAGGAACACTAGCCATGGCTCTGAGTTGTCACACCAAAGGTAAGGACAAAGTAAACGTGCAGCTTTCCATACACTCTTGTAAGTTGGAGAAAGCAGTAAGTTAATATTAGCAACTCTCTAGATCATTAGGCCACAGTGGTTTCACTGATTCACTGAATGATCCCTTCATTTAACAACTATTTATTGAAATCCTACTATGTGCCAGGCATTCTTCTGTACCCTGAGGATGAAGCCATGAACAAAGCAGACTATGTCCTCAGAGAACGAGGACACATTATAGAATTGCACACCTGAAACCTATATAATTTTATTAACCAATGTTAACCCCAATACATTTTTTACAAGACTCAATATGAGTACTGAGGTGAGCTGGAAAAATGCTTACCCTTAACTACATTAAAAAGTAATTTCCAGTATTCAATATTTCTTTCCAGTGCTCATTTTGCTTTGAATTCCTGAGGCGTATCCCTCGAGATTCTTATCCTTTGACAATGTTAGGAGAAGAAAGAGGCAAAATTGTTAGGCAAAAATTTGCCTATCCTCCAGGTAAACATATTTAGTTTCTAAGACCCAGCTTCACCTGTATCGGAAATGTGTGCAAAACAGGAAGTTCTTATAGGTTCATGGTGCTTTGAATAGTTATTAAACAAGGTTTCCATTTGATTTGGCCTGACGTCTTAGCTCCCCTCCCCTTGCAATGCACATAGTAAGGTTTGCATGGTGCCTTTCTTTTGTAAAGTAGATAAACATGGTTTTGGACATAGAGGCTTTTTTGAGCCCTTTAATTTTAGGAAAGCATACCCTTGGAAGTTGATCTGGAAATTAATCCCTTTAAAGCTCCCTGTGCTTGGATACCTCTTGAAAAGCCTTTGTGTTTCCTCAGGAGTATGTGTACCTTGGTTTGAAGACCATTCATTGCTTTAGACTGTTTCCTGAGTATCACAAACTAACTTAATGGCAGACAATTCTATAGTAAGGACAGTTAGGGAGCCCTTTATGAATAGATACTCTGTGTTGTTGGTTGAAAGGCTGGCTCTTGATCATATGTGTGCAGTTAGCAAATAAAACACTTATGGTAAGTTGAAAGAACCTGCTCTATTAGTTGTGGGCCCCCTTACATCTGCAGGTAGGTTTGTTGTAGCAGTTCCCCTGGGTGGGGCAAGGGCTTAGCCAATGAAACCACTCTTGTCTGGGCAAGTGCATGGGCAGATACTTGCTTGAAATACTTGGTATTTGGCAGAAATAACTGATTCAAACACCAGAAACTGTGATAACTGGAAGTGCTACAATCTACTTCTCAACCTTAGGCAGTAACATACACTACAAACTGCCATGATTTTGCACTATAATACCTGCGTTTCTAATTTCAAAATTTTAAATTGATTTTAGAGAGAAAGGCAGGGAGAGAGAAACATCAATTTGTTGTTCTACTTATTTATGCATTCACTGGTTGTTTCTTGTATGTGCCCTGACTGGAGATTGAACTCACAACCTTGGTATATCAGGACAATGGTCTAAAAACTGAGCTACCTGGCCAAGGCACATTTCTAATTTTTAAGCATGTAGCCAGGAAAAATTTGAAAATGCTTTTATGCAAGCCTACCTTGTTGGTATTATTTTAGTGAATTAAAACTATCCCATTGTAAAGCTCTTTTTTCTACATTTTAATTTAAAAGTGCAGTCATTTAAAAACAAGAAATTAAAATTTATGTCAGAGAGGGTTTTTTTCCCCTAAAAAAATTGTTTAAGTATTTGACTCATCCAATACCCATTTCTGCCTCACGAAAGGGAAATAATAATAATAAACCTAATATCACTCTGACTACAGTAGACATAAACATTACTTCATAAATGAGGGTTTATGCTCTATTGTATTTTAATTGAAATTAAATATTCCTCTAAGACTCCATTTTGCCGGACTAGTAGGAAATTCAGTTTCAGTTCTTGTTTGACTTCAGCTCCCCAGAGTCAAACAAAATTTCAAAATATTTACCAAAATAGGAGAGGGCCTTCTAGTCATCAGCCCAGCACTATTTTGGTATCGCCCTCCTCATCTGAGCCTACAAAATTACTAGAAGGGAGCAGGTCCACTGTGCAAGGTGAGGTACCTGTGGTCTGTGCCCACATGGAACCCCAGTGCTCAGGAGAGCATGTCCCTCATCCCCAGAGGCTCTGCTGCTAGCACCTGCTGCTTCTGGGCTCCTCAGACCTTTGGCTTCTTCCTCGTTTGGAGGAATTCTGTCTCTGTGCCTTCCTCCTAACAGAATTTCCTCAAGGATCTCTGGTTTAGGGGAAACAGTAACCAGAACAGCAAGCTGTCTGCCAGCAACTTGACCTTCACAGCTTCTGTAGGGGAGTTGGTAGTAAGGGGCCGGGAACCTGCTTGGAGTTGGGGACAGGGAAAAGACAGAGCCCAAAACACAAATGAGTATTGCCATCAATGGTCCTATATTTCTACTACTATTAATAAGAGATAAACGGTACTGAGTGCTGCTTTCTGCTTGTACTGATGATCAAATTTAATTCTGAAATCTTTGCCATGTTTTAAAGACACCTGAGGCTTAGAGAGTTTCAGTAACTTTCCCAAGTAGCAGAGCTGGGATTAGAACCCAAACCAAATCCAAAGTTCAAGCCCTATGCTATATATTTTTTTCTCCTGAGGATACTGGTAATATTTTTTAATTAAATTTCCCCCCCCAAAATTATAAATTTTCAAGTACGGTTCAATTGCATACAATATATTTGTTTCAGGTATACAATGTATTGAGTAGACATAGATATAACTTACAAAGTGATCACCCCCGATAAGTCTAGGGGCACTGGTAATACTTTATTTTGAGCACAGGGAGCTGCCAGGATAGGCTAGCTGCAGCATGCGCTCCCAGAAAGCTCAGTGAATTCATCCATGGAACACCATTGCTCAGAGTTCTCCATCTGGTTGTCAGAGTGCACTTGCCAAGACTCAAGAACAACAGTGCTGCTCTGGGTGTAATTAATGTTTAGACAATAACTGGTCAGCATGTTCAGCTGCTTCTTGAGGTCACTCCTGGGATATGAAAATAGGACCCTGTATTGGCATAAACAGGATGTTGGTTTTCTCTGCGCTCTGTCAGGAGGCCATTATCTCGGTCATCTAGAAGTTATACCAAATTGCTCAGGTGCAGGATTCAAAGGAGGGTGGAATATAATCTGTCCTAGTTTTGTGTTGTTTAAAGTAGAAAATTGATGGATCTGAAATCCATTTCTGCTCAATATGATTCTTGAGGTAGTATTTTAGCAAAGTCCTAAAAGAACATTTAAAGCCCTAAATCAATTTTTAAATTGTATAGCTTGGCCCATAAATGGTTCCTGTTTATAGAGTCAAAAGCTAACACAGCCAGTAAATCAATACATAACATAGTCATTATGGCCTTACTCCCTGCCTCCCCGACAGCTGGCGTGGTGGGTGATTCAAAACAGGCTGGGCTCTTTACTCAGGATATTCAGAACATGCTTCTGGGGCTTTCAGTGCTGCATGCGTCAGAATCTTCCCCGAAGCTTGTCAAAAACAGAGCGGCCTGGGTCCCACTTCAGACCCACTGTCTTAGTCCATCGGGGCTGCTATAGCAAGACGCCATAGACCGGGTAGCTTAACAAGAAGCTTGTTTCTCACGGTTCTGGGAAGCCCAAGATCAAGGCATTAACATGGTCTCCTTCTGCTGAGGGCCCTCTTCCTGATTCATAGCTGGCACCTTCTTGCTGTTTTCTTACATGGTGGAAGGTTCCAGGGAGCTCTCTTGAGCCTCTTTTATAAGGTACTAATCCACCCCGATGAACTA